TTGTTCCAGCCTACATTTTTAGGTCAGCAAACATTTTATAAAATTCTTAACTTATGGCTCATAAACAACCCACAGAAGTCACAAGTGATGTAGTGAGATTAAATATGCAACATTTGGAGCCTATAGCCACTTCTAATTTGGTGTTAATGTGCCAACAGAAGCTGTGACCATGGGTGCCCCAAGGCTTGTGCCCTGTGTTCAGTGACTCTCATTCTTACTCTGTAGAAAATTTTTTTTTCCTTTTTGTCTTTTTTACTGACTGGTGACGGGATCGCAACCCTCGGTGTTGCGCCCGTACCGGGGACTGGCAACGGGATCGCAACCCTCGGTGTTGCGCCCACACCGCGCTCAGCCAGTGAGCGGGAACTGGTCTCCACATGGGATCTGAAACCTTGGCAGGAGTGCCACCATGCTCCCAAGCGGCGCACTCTCCAGTGCGCCACCGGGCCGGCCCGCAAATATTTATATTTAGAATAACTGCTGTTAAAACTTACTTTAGCATTTTTTTCTAATGATTTAAATGAAAGAGAACTTTTAAAAACTTTAAAATGTATGTATGGACACAATTTGTGGTAGCTAATTTAAACATCTTTTTTAAAACCTATTTTCTCCCCGATTTTCACCCCCAGGACACTTCATTATTCACAGTACAGACAGACCAGAGCTTCATCTGCAGCCTGGTAAGTTGATTTTGGTTTGTGTTTCTGGGATGTTGCTACTTACCACTAAATGTTCTAAAGTAAGTTGATCATACCGGTTAGTGTAGAGTTTGAACACCCACAATGTCATTTCTGCAGTCCCCTCTTTCCTAGAATATTGGAGGGAAAGCATCTCTAAGATCTCAGCATGACTTTGGACTTGGTTATTTCTTTTCATAAAGAGGCACAGTCATTTCAGCAAAAACCAGAGTCTCCTAATCATGGGCCTCCGTGGAACACAGTGAATCCATCAAAGACAAGGATATTTCCATGTGACTGTAAAAAGCTACAGGATTTAAAGTGCAATTGCCTCTAGGATTGATGCTTCACAACAGATTCTTGCTATTTTCTTGAGCCTGAAGCTACCCCGTTTCTCATCTCGTCCCTTCATTTCGTGAGCTGTAGAAGGAAGTAGTAATGCACAGTAGAGTTGTGATTCCTCGTTAGATGCCAGAGGAGAGGAGAGAGAAGCTCAGTCAGGGAATGAGCGGGAAGCGGGAGTTGCTTTAGGTGTGAGAGGAGATTCTTGTAGGATCAGTGTTGCTGTCATCACGGGGAAGTACCGCAGTAAAGTTAATGTGGAGAAGGTAAGAGATGTCACTTGTGAGCCTGTCGCTGCTGCACTACAGAGGATTTTGGCTCTTCGAAGGTTCATTCAGGAGGGTTATCTGCAGCGCTGTGGCTTTCCCGTGGGAATAGTGTATCACTATCCCAGCTCCCACCTTGCACACTGGAAGCTTGGAATTGGGTTTCAGTAGAATGAATTTTTTTTTAGACTATTTCGTTTTTTAAGTCAGGAATTTTGTTCTGGGAAGTTTGTTTTAAAGAGTGATTTGATATATTTGCAAAGTCATGTTTGTCTCTACTACCTTGTCACTAGAGTGTCACACTTTTGTCTGTTGGGTATTCAGGCAAAAGGCAGAGAGTCTCTGCAGCCTGGAAAGAAATAGTTAAGTTTTTCAAATAGAGATTCTATTGGTGTGAGTAATGGAGCCAGAGAGACTCGTTTTTCATGTTCATTGATGATTCTCAAGCCTGGGTAAGGGAGCTAGAGGATGAGATTTTTAATTATCAATTGTGAATGGGGTAAGAAAAATTAAGCAATACTGATATGAAAGGAAAGACGATTGGTCATAATGAAACTCACACCTTCTACTTTGATGCAAAAGATCCAGGCCTGGAGTCCAGTGGTTACGTTTCTCTGAACACTCCCTCCGCTCCACAGCTGGTTCTAGGAGCTTCCAGGCCTGCCCTGCCCTTGTCTTGAAGTGTGTTCTCTGAAGCAGACAACTTGCCCATTCTTTTTGCCGGGAACTTAGCAGTGTCGTGCCCAGCACTGCCTGTGCTGCGAGCACTGGCCCTGCCCTGGGAGGAACTAGGAAGTCACAGTGAGCCTGTGTTTCCCTCTGAGTCGCGATCATACAGGATCTTCCCAGGAGCAGGAAAATTTCCCAGCGTTTGGTTCATTGACTGTTCTGAGCAAGGTGGGGGTTGAAGTTGGTCATCAGTTGTACATCTCCTGGCCCGCATATGCCCCACAGGACATGCCTTGAGTACAAGTTTAAACCCTTTTTGCATCTGTTAACCTTGCTTAGGGCTCAGAGTTGCCTCCACAGCCCTTTGTAGTCTCACCAAATTAGCTCTTCCAGGACTGGAGAAGCAGGACTACGAGGCAGGGGCCATGTGGGGATGTGACTAGACTCTTCACGCCAGTCTCCCAAGCCATCTCCTCTTCCTCTGCATTGACCTGCCTCGTGTCTTACCCCAGAGGATACCAGAAAATATGCTCCAAGGCTGCAGTACTCATTTTATTCTGAAGGAGGAACTCCATTTCTGATTCTCAGAGTTGATCCATCGTGGCATCCTGCTGTCACCAGTACATGTAAAGGGGGGTGCCTCTTCTCTGAATGTATAATGACTGCTACTCAAGCAAACAGTAGGAAATCACTTCCAGCACTCCCAGTAGGCATGCCATGGTCTCAGCCCACCAGCATTGTCTGTCAAGGGAGCATCTTATAGAAAAAATAATTGAGGCAGGGCACCATTCCTATAGGACTATTTTAAATCTTTCCACAAGGTGTCACTCACAGTTTGTCTTTGGTTTTCTATCTTGACAAATATTTCCAACTTTACACCGTCTTAGAAGAGACAGAAGGGTGACTTATAAGTATGAACAGCCGATTTTATGTTCAATCAC